GATGTAGATGTCTAATAATGATTGTCACTGTTTTACTTAGAAATGCGAATTAACATCACTACTTTTAATTCAACACTGTGAAGACCATTTCCCCAGTATTTCAACAATACTGCATATTATAAATAACCAAGCAACGATTATTTGAAGTTCAGCAAATTGTCCTAGAATATATGCAAGCATAAATCGCCATTAACGTATAAAAGAACATTCACATAACCAATAGACAAAAGGTTTAGATCATACATAAGTTTCTTGCAACAAAGGTTTATGGCACATGATGGTACCCTCGAAGGACAGAAAAACAAAATCAAGTAGCTCAGACTTATCTGAAGGTTTCATCTTTACAAAATCAAATGATTTTGTCCATGTGTTTATCGCACTGCACGACGAAGGCAGAACCAACCTCTCCACTCCCAAGTAACTTAACTGTTTTTCAATCTCATTCATCAACATGCTACACATTCCTTGTCTTCTACAATGCATCCTTGTTGCCACAAAGGGAATTTCCGCAACCCTCTTACCCAAAATCCTCACAGTAGCAGCAGAAATCACCTCCTTCTCCCTCTCCAGAACCACAGTATAAAACCCACGAAAGTTCAACCGACCCAGTTCTGACCCTCTGCTGAAAACAACGTCAGCTATCACATCTCTACCAGAAAAAGCGTCAATAATTGGGTCAAAACTCCCACGCAATACATCAAGAGCTACACTCAGCTTCCTTTCGTTTTCACTCAAACCTTCGTCTCCATCCAAATTAAGATAATCTTCTCCACTGCTATCCCTTTTCACTGCCTTCAACAGCGTCCAAGTAACATCATCTCCATCAACATTAATGGTTTTTCCCAAAAGCTCCTGCAGACCGAAAAATATTTTCTCGCAGTCTCTACTGCAAAACCAATTCCTATCACCAACACGGTCTTCTTCCTTTTCCAACTTGGTATGTGACGAGGCTGGAGCCTTTAAGCATCCAAAATGGAATTTCCTCTCACACTGAGGACAAACTAAAATACTGTTAACCCCCACATTACGAGCACGGTCATCTCTGCATCTGGGTCGCCTGCATATTTTGCAACAACAAACTGGGCAGAACCAATCACCATCAGGAACAACGCTTAAACCTAAACACTTGAGGTGGAACGAAGACGGGCATCCATCACACAACACCAGTTCACCCCCGTAACGACAAACAGCACAAGTGCTATCATTTGGATAACCACACTCATCGATTTCATCTTCTTTCACAAACCCGTTTTGCTGAGAACTTAGGGCCTCGTTTTTACAATCTAACAATGACCTTCCATCTTCCAAGAAAATGCTAGAATTTGGTCTGTGCCTTTGACACCTGGCATGAGCCTCAAAGCGAGTGGGAGAAAAAAACTTGTCACAGCAATCACAACATATGCCACCGTACAACAGCTTCCCTTTCTTGACCACGCCGTTTGAACCACGGCAGGATACCACGGAATCTAAACCCACAGCACCGTTTTCTATCAACCAAGGGATAAGAGTTCCACGGTGTTGTTGTGAAGACTTGGAAACCGGTGCCTCACCCTCTTGCGTCGTTGTTTTGATTGACGGCGCAGCCTTACCTCTTCTACCATTCGTAGAACTAGAGCCTTCTACCAACTCATCATCGTGATCATCCTTTTCCCTTTTCTTGCACACCCTAGTTCTCTTTTTGGATTCTCTTGTCTCCTTATTTGGTTGAGAAGAAGAAGTAGGATATTCGAGAACAACGTTGTTTTCTTGAAAATCTTGAGGGTTTTCAATGCAGCCTCCCTCTTCTATGCAAGCTTTACAAGCCCTGGCGAGAGAAATGTAATTCTTGCCAGTGATGGGTGATGTGTAACGCATCTCCCACTTATCTTTCTTCTCAACATACCAAAATTTCCAACCCAGATAACGAAGATGTTTCTTGGCTTTTAAGGAAAGGTCCCTGCGTAATGAACATTCTCTCCTGTTACTTGGCAGTGATGCGAGATGGTACCATTGCGTCACCGCCTGAGGACAATATTCAGGTTCAATGTTGATTCGTGGAGGCTCAGGCGTAGGAGCCATAGATCACCACCATGGAAGACAAGGAATCGATTCTGTATCCTCTTTGTATTCATGTAATTTAAAAAACCTTACTTTGTTTGGTGGTTCCGGATACCAAAGGGACTAATGTTTTGTTTTCTTTTCAAATATTAGGATGCTTTCAGAAATATTTCATTAACTCTTTACATTTTAAATTTTAAATTTTAAGATTAGTCCATATTTCCCAGACAGAATATTAGATTTAATTTTAATTTAACATTAATTTGCCTTAATTAGCTAGGCTGTATAGAATATTTCTTTTTCTTCTTTATGGCTATTGATTACATGCTTTTACTAATTAAGATTGTTATTTCCAACACTTCATTAGGTTTTAAATAAAAATAATAATTAAAATAATAATCACCATTTAGAAAAGAATGTAAAAAAATTATCTGACATCAAATTATACAAATTAGGGTCATTTTTTATGATGTAATGTTTTATCTAATACCCCTTTATTGTTATTCAATTTTGAAGCGGGATAACTTTATATGGTATCATTGTTTACTTTAACTTAAATAATTTTATTGTAAATGAAAACATTTTATTTTAAAAATAATTTCATCTAAAACCTCTATATATATAGTTGATATTGCATGCTTCACTTTTCTGTTAATTCGTTATGTGTGTTTGCTAACTTTTAAATCAATCCTAATAACAGGGTTTTTAGAAAATGGAAATTACAATTAAAACTAGTGAAGGAACAGTCGTCACCGCATTGTGAGTTCGTATTTTTACATATTTTTGTTAATAATTTAAATCGTTAATAAATGGTATAACTAAAAGTTATAATAAAAGCAATTTTTAAAAATATTTTTTATATTTATTCGATTTAAAAGATGTTGAAAATATAAACTGACTAAATGAAGGTACTTTACATAAATAATTAGGTTTATCATTATTTCACAATAATGTTGTTCTTTCATAATTACCTAATATATGTGGAAGTATACCCAGAATTATGGCGTTCCAAAACTTACCGAGATTATCAGATTAGAATAGAAAAATTTTAGCCAGTTTTATTTTGAAATGTTGTATAAAGAGAATATCAAATGAAACCAGTGTAATTAGACCAATTCATAACTCTGTAGAATTGATTATAACACAGTGGAATTATAAATATATTTTGCTTCACTGCCCATGTGTAAAATTTTATGATTAAATTAACAATAATAAAAGATAATTAATAATTTATATTTTAGTATATTTAAAAAATAAATTTATTGTATTGATTCTATACATATGTGAATAAATCATGAAATGAATTTAGATTCATGTAAATATATACAGGCAGAACGTACCTTAACATACTCGATTTTCTTTCTAAAAAATTTATCGAAATGATTGTTCAGATCTTTTATCAAGTATTTAAATTTCAAGATCCAGTCCACATTCTCATGAATACATGTTTAATTTCAAATTTAATATTAATTTTCTTTTATTAATTAAGAGTTTTATTTACGGTAATTCATTTAATTTAAAACATGAATAAAAAATAGAGAAGGCTGCTAAAATTCTCAAAATTTCAAAACGACCTTCACAGAGGTTAGGCTGTAAACACCTACTATTTCATGATATTTAGACCTATAAAAAAATCACATAAAATTTAAAACATTAATAACTGTATTATTTTAAATAATTTTTAATTTTTTTAAATCTCAATTATATATCATTTCTTTTTTTCTTTAAATAATTAATAATTGATTGAACATCATAAAAAAAACTTTTAAGATACTTTTTAAATCCTGAATAATACATACTTTAATAACTCTTGTCCTTAAATTGATTTTTTTATTTATTTTCTTAACAGAACATTTAATTACAAGTTATTTTCTAAGCTAAATTAATTTTAAACTCTTACATACGCGCGTTAATGTTTATTTATGTATTTGTTAAAAAAGAATTAGAGATAAAAATAACAATAAATATTATTAAATTTAGAATTAAATTTTTAATATAATAAACTTGAAAATAATTCATAAGTTTAGAAAAAAATAATATATTTATAAAAATATTTTTAAGAATATAAAAAATAAAAATGTGCCAAAATATAATATACTTCTAAAAATATAAAAATATCTAGAGTTCAAATCTTTTACAAATCATTCAATTCTATAATAAATTTCCAAATAACAAACTTGCACAGACAATATATTCTCTTTACAAATCTCCACAAAAAAGAATAAAAAAAGTAAGAGAATGAATTTTTTTTCATAGATGAAATGTGAATAATTTAATAGATTTGATAAATAAAAAATGTTTTAATTAATAAATTTATATTATTAAATTATTTTATTTAATATAATATATTAATATTATTACAATATAAAAGTATATTAATAATATAATTATTAAGAATTTATAATATTTGTACCTTACCCTATTATATAAATTTTTTTATAATGATACATATTAATAAAAATATTATTGTAAAATCGAACCTGAAATCCGTGTGAACACATAATTTCTGTAAATACAAACATAACATTAATATATACTGAACATATTCAATGATTTTAAATATAATTAATATACATTGGGTACATATTTAATGATTTTATATATAGTTTCATGATCCTCTCCCTTTTCCTTACTCTTGCTTCTTTTTTTCTTTTTCTGATTAAAAATATTACACAAAAGAAAATAGTTAAACTTTAAGCTTTTTGTTATAAAAGAGTTATATATATATATATATATATATTAAATTTATTTGCAAAAAGTGTTATTTAAATTTCATTGAAATATTTAATAGTCATTAAAGTAATACAACATTCATAAAAAATGTCATCCTTTAGAAATTACTTTAGCTTGCAAAAAATAACTAAAGAGGGAATATTAAATTGAAGTAATTAATTTATAAAGCAATTGAATCAAATATAATACTTTTCCAAATTAATTTAATTTCTTTCCACTTGTACATATCCTTAAAACAAATAGGCATTTGAAATCCGTTCTTAATATCTGTTTGTTATTCATATTACAACATCATAAGTCTCACATCATCAGATGAAATCGATAGGAGTACAGGATTGGACAAAGTGCACTTATGAAATGTAAGAAATATCGTTACACAAATGAAGGATCGAATCTCTAAATGACAAATAATTATCGTTGTTCCCAATCAAATTCATGCATCTTCGTCAGCCATACCGACAGCGTAGTGGCCGAAGTTTCTGCCCTGTAAATTTATCGAAAGAAATCAAAGGAAAAAAATAAGCATTGATATACAATCCACACAGCACATTCTTTTGCAGAAGAAAGTTATCATATTTCAAATTACGTTCAGCTGCCATATTATCATTTTAAGTACTTCCACGGGAAGATAAAAGTGAACGTTCTCATATACGGTAAGAATGCTAACCTCAGATAATACCCGCTGCTTATTAAGTAATTGCGTCCTAGCCTTGTTCAAAACCGAATTTGGAGATTTAAACATTCTCTGCGGTTAAAGGGAATGGGGCAGGTTAGCGCATGAAAACAAGTGCGGTGGGGAGTGGGGGAACATACACGAAAAATCAAGATAATTGAGCACAATCACGAACAAACTTACCTTTNAATGTAAGAAATATCGTTACACAAATGAAGGATCGAATCTCTAAATGACAAATAATTATCGTTGTTCCCAATCAAATTCATGCATCTTCGTCAGCCATACCGACAGCGTAGTGGCCGAAGTTTCTGCCCTGTAAATTTATCGAAAGAAATCAAAGGAAAAAAATAAGCATTGATATACAATCCACACAGCACATTCTTTTGCAGAAGAAAATTATCATATTTCAAATTACGTTCAGCTGCCAAATTATCATTTTAAGTACTTCCACGGGAAAATAAAAGTGAACGTTCTCATATACGGTAAGAATGCTAACCTCAGATAATACCCGCTGCTTATTAAGTAATTGCGTCCTAGCCTTGTTCAAAACCGAATTTGGAGATTTAAACATTCTCTGCGGTTAAAGGGAATGGGGCAGGTTAGCGCATGAAAACAAGTGCGGTGGGGAGTGGGGGAACATACACGAAAAATCAAGATAATTGAGCACAATCACGAACAAACTTACCTTTTCACCACCAGACATTTTGTGTTCGCCGCTATTAAGATATTTTTTCTTCGGCGAAAAACCAAATACATCATGTAGGAACTCATTTTCCTGTTTGCCAAGGGAGAAGAGGGAAAAAAGGGTGTAAACATGAGCTCCAGATTACACAATAACCAGAAGCTTGCCAAAGAAAAAGGTTGAGAAAGTCTACCTGCATATGCTTAACGAATCCTCCTCCAAGAAAATGCTTGATAAAATTCAACTGCAAGAATTTGAATGTCAAAAATGCTACAAGAAAAGAGATTTCAAGAAGTATGGAAAGACAGGACACAAGAAATACCTGTATCATTTCAGACCATGATGATGTCTGCAGGGAATCACCCCCAATCTTCATTGAAATATCCGGGGAGTAACCATACTAGGATGACAAGGTAAGATCAGTACAGAATCCCCACCTTCATTAGCAAATCATCTATTGTTTTCAAATAATAACCATAGTAGTAACTAACATACCTCAAAAAAATCCAATATATCTCGGAACAAGTTCCTTTGACTATTAAGATCTTTCTTTGCAGAACCTTTTCCACCCGCCTCTATGGAAAGTTTTTTGCATTGATTCAACACCTTTCCTTTCAGTCCCTGTAAAAATATGTAGCTTTCGAGTGGTTTACTCCCTTCTTGCGTTGCATCACTTGCATTGTCTGACTGGGCAGAAAATTTATCTATAACTCCAATTTCAAAAATCAGAGCAAGTGCTTCACCAGCAGCAATTCGTACAGATCTGTCTTCCTTGTCTAGAAGACCAGATAAATAAGATATTGTACTGCATGAACAACAAAACAATAAGTTGGATCCCAGGAATGGTTACATAGAATGCAATTCTCCATGGATATTTTTTGTAACAACAAATAAAACAGATGAAAGATAAATCTAAAATATGAAATAGACTTCTTCATAAGTTAACATTACTTTATGCATAAACTAATTTATAGAGGACCTCTCATATAGTTTCTCCAAATTTTTGCAACTTACACATAAACTAATTTAACTTATGGAGAAGTTAATTTCATTTTGTTCTTCACATGTCTCTCTCCCATAAATCCTTCTACAAAAGTTCGTTCAAACAAACTCATAATACTATCTTTCTGGGACTCCAATTATACCCACATTATAACTACCTTGCTGAAAATAAGAAAAGGAAATACCTAAAAACAATTCATGAAAAAAGAGAGATAGAAAAAAAAATACCCAGGGTTTGAAAATTTAAATATCAAATTTTTAAGTTGTTACACCTTATAGACATCATGTGTCAAAATAAATAACTGCTTTATCTCAAAGTTTAAACCCAGGGTGGCTATAAAATATTTAAACTCAACCGATAACCCCATTGTTCTTAATTGAAATATATTACGTTTTGTGCAGTCAATGTTGCCTTTCAATCTCGCAAAAATTGGGTGCAGGCTATTCCTCTTATATGGGCTC